GTTGCGAAGTGCGCAATGCAGGGTTGATTCTGATTCCTAGTGGAACCGTGGTGACCCTGGGTTTTTTTTTGCATTAAAGAGCAGCAGTGTCTAAAGAACTGAGTAGAACTCTACTCGGAAGCCAAGATCGATGCGCGCAAACACCTTGATTCAAATCTACACGATATGTAAAATTGTCACGCTGCTTCGACTTGAGGTGTTGATGAAAACATAGTGGTTCGTCTGAGTGGAGGCGAAACGAACCACTAAACTTATTGATTTATACCGTAAATTATACTCCTTACTTTCTCTCTTATTTATAGCGAGAACCGCCTCCTTTCAGTGACACTTACTTTGATCGTTTTTCAGTGATACTTACTTTGATCGTATAGTGACGTATACAATAGATCCATTCCCCACTACACTGACTGTTGGCAATAGAATGTAGAGAACTTGGTACGGTAACGGTAGAATATCTGGAGGCATAGTGGTGTCAGCAGTGTCTGCAAAAGAAGTTCGAGAGTAGGCCTTCGCAGATGCTTTAAGTAATTCGGAAGACGGTTTCAATAATTGCAGTGAAGTTGTGCTCGTGAGAGCTCGTAACATCAGGAGTCTCTTCTATAGTATCCTACTACATACATATATATAATCGGTAAGTGTGTCTGTTGGTGTGTGTGTGCATGTTTGACCGGAAATTCATAGCGCGGCACCAGCGGTCGTCAGGAGTTGATTTCAAGATATGATATAGGGGGTGGGACGGGAACATATTTGGTGGAACAGAAAGTGATAACAGCTGATAAGATCCGATAAGGGGCGCTAGAACGCAAGTGTCACGAAATTCATAGTGCGCGGCCAGCAGCATTGAGGCGCTGTTTCTTAGATATGATGTAGCGGGTGGGACGTGAACTATGTGGAGGGGGGGGGGAAAGAAGGTGATAACAGCAGATGAGACCCTATGAGGGGTGCTAGAACGCAAGTGTCAAGAGATTTATAGCGGCGGCCTGGCTGAATTGAGGCGCTTTCATTTGGGTATGATGTAGAGGGTGGGAATGCAACATAGTTGTCAGGGGACAGAAGATAATAACAGCCGATGAGATCCGATAAGGGGCGCTAGAACGCAAATGTCGCGGAATTCATAGCGCGCGGACCAGTAACATTGCGGTGCTGTCTCTGGGATGTGATGTGAGGGGTAGGACGGACACATCTTTGGTAAGTGACAAAATGTGGTAAAAACTGATGAGGAGTGATAATAGCAATAGAGGGATTGTTAACCTTATTATCTAGACACGCGATAAGGAAAATATCCATTCTATGTCATCGTTAGCTTGAGATCCATTCGACCACTAATTCGAACGAGCTTCCTATGATGGCCTTTGCTTGTGGAAATACGGCTTGGTGTTTCTACTTAGAGATCGTTGGCATAAAGAGTTATTCAACCGCTAAACGTTCCCAACATAAGAAGCGCGGTAGTTGTTTATGTTGAGGGCTCACAGTAAGCAGTTAAAGTCATCATAATATTATAGGTTTACAAAGCTTATTGAGCCGCTATACCATGTTCATTTTCGAGAAAATGATAGATGCTATGGATATTGACGAGCTACGGGAAATGACTGCTTCATCATCAGCACTGTAATAACCTTTCGTTGACAACATCTGTTGCACTAGAAGCATGCATGCTGCCTTATACAAAACAAGGTTCTGCCGAAGCCCACTTTGACATTAGCGAGATAGCGAGCGTAGCCGAACTGGTTTACAAGATATTACCCATGGTGAACATCGGGGGATTCAAGGTGAGGAGCGGTGGCGGGACGTTTTTGACTTGATGGAAGAACGAGGGTCGTATTTGGGTTTCTGGAGGAGTTGTAAGTGGGGCACATCAAAGGGGAGGACATACAGGTAGGCTTGAAGGTGGAGTTCTTTCTCTCTACAGCCCTGTTCATCCCATCCCGCGCTCCTTCACTGAAGTCTTGTATGTACAATGCGCTAATCTGTCCATTTGTCTGTGTTTGTGTCTGTTTCTCCGTTTGTCACGAAATTCGGTACTAAATACCAGAGGGTCCGGGAGAATTTTGGGATGGACCAGCCATGTCTTCGAAAGAACAAAGGTATATCAGTCAGGTGGGGGCCCACCTACAGTTAGGCGTGGCGTGCATCGAAATGAGAGGTACTAACGACCAAGATTTCAAATTCAGTGACAAAACAGCCTCGAAACTGGGAAAAAGTGGGTAAAGGTGTGCATTGGTAAGCCACATCGAATTAGGGAGACCCACCCCCGGTGGGCGGGGCGTTCTCTAAAAAAGCAGTGCTTTATGAAAAATTTCATAACTCGGTTAAGAGAAACCCATACAGCAGAGAAAAAACGGTTTGAGGAGGCAGTGCCCAAGTTGCTTCCAGCATATATGACGTGAGCGAAATGAGCGAAGTGTGTCCTGGAGTAGACAGCATTTCTATAATTCCTTATAAATTAGTTCCAAGAAGCCTTGGTGAGCCGAAAAAGGTAGATAGAGGTCAGAGAAGGGGGAGATCAAGTGATAATGGTGGGCGCGGCGGGCACAAAGTGGGCGAAGTTTGCTACCAAACTTATAACTCGGTTCCAAGAAGTCTTGGAGAAGGGAGGGGGGGAAGTGGATCGAGGTCGGCGAAGGAGTAAGGTCAATTGCTATTGGTGGGCCTGGCGCGCACAAATGTGAGCAGAGTTTGAAACGAAACTTCACAGTTTGGTTCCAAGAAACTCCTTCCCGGACCGGCAAAAAGTGGGTGGAATCCAGCTGTGTTCATAACTCCCGAAGCGGTCAAAGATTGGGTGCTCTACACCATTGGACTCGTCTCTCTGTGGCGAGTCTAACCATGTGGAAAACTACGGTACTCGCCGTAAAAAATCGAAAAAAACACGCGAAAAACGCAAATTCGCGTTTCTTTTTCGTTTTTTCGTTATAACTCGCTTCAAAATCAAGATTTTCGAAATCTGAAAAAAGCGTTGAACTCAGCTCGTCGAGTTCTATAAGAATATGCTTTTAAACTTTTGGAAAGCCTTACCTCAGATTGGGGCATGCAACTGTTTGAATGTGGTGCGCATATGTAATCCCGCTTATGCATCATGATCGTTCTTCAGAGAGATGGGTCTCAGCAGTTGCCCCAGAACGCGCCGCGTATTCAACATCGTCCATTGTATTGTGAATGGATCGATTGCTTTTTTCCAGATTTCATGGTCCCTATTCCACAGCGGCGCGTTAAATGACTTAACACGTAGTTCCTGCGCTCAACATCTCCTCCTCTCGTGTTCAAATGGAAATCATAGATCAATTCTTTTTACTTCGT